ACACCATATTGATAGCCAAGAGCGTTCCGCCGAAGATTCCCGCACCGTAGAGTAGCCGCTGGCGCGCATCGCCCTGAGCGAGGGGATTTTGTCGTGCGACCTGCTGATATGATCGCTTCTGAAAGGTCGTGCGGAAGGTTGGCTGAGATTTCGATAGCGATGGAGCCATCTTCCGGGTGAAGAAGTTCGACTGCTGCTTGAGTGGTGGTGTGTTGTGGAAAGCGCGGAAGGCGATGGATTGCGCAGGCTTAGAAGTTTGTCGCAGCGTCGCCGTGATGGCAAACGGCTGCCGCATGATGAAAGCCATGATTTCTGTCGATTCGAAGGGCGTTGTTGAGATTTGTGGTCGGGACAATGGGATGAAGGAGGGGAGAAGTGACAGGTTGAAGAATGACGTTGGCGCAAGCTCTGGCGCCTTATGTAATTGGTCACGGAACGTACGAGAATCAGATGGTCGGAGCTTCTTTTGCCCCTCGGACGAATTTACAATAGATATTATTTACGAAGTACGATATTACAGCACTAATTATATGCCACTTTGCATGATGGTGCTCGTGTATCCAGTTTAACCGTTGATGCAGATGTATACACACATTGATAATTGTATCAAAGCAGTTGAACATTTCGTGGCTCATTCTCCTCCCGCATATCCATCGAAAGAGTGAATGTCTTTGAGACAGGGTTTGAGCACTTCGCGGATGGAATCATACTAGTCAAAGGAATTATGGTATATGGACACCGACTGGAAAGAGCCTTTAAATGGTTGTAAATGTTGTGTTGTCTATGCACTTTTGTTCAATAGGCTCATGCGTTTGACGATACATATGTATGTATTCAGCGAAACTGTGTTTTCGTATAGGAATGGCATACCTAGCATATGTTAGTAGAAGATGTAGTTTCGTAGATGGCTACCAACCCGTATCATGATGACTGGTAATTCTGAACAGACGTCGACATCGCGTAAACTATAAGAACCCGTCCTTCTTCTTCTTCTTCTTTTAGATATAGCAAAGATAACTTCTACACTAGAAAGATCTTTTCACTGCGGATAGAAACTTCTAATGTTCAACCTCACAGACTCCTCAAATGGCTCCCATCCTTCCAAGCCCAGCCTCTTCAGATACTGCACACTCTTCTCCAATGGTGGGTTCGTCATATCGACACCCTTGTCCTGTAGCTCGATTGGTACTTTCTCCCCCATCGTCTCCTCGATAACCTTCGCAACGCCCGGCCAAGTATACCTCTCAGCCCATGCATACACACGTTCTCCTTCCAAACCCTTCAACACCGCAGCTGCAACATGCATGCGCGCCGCATCGCGCACATCCACGAACCACTGTGGATCCAACCATGCAAACAGCTCCGCATTCTTTCCCTCGTACAGAGAGCGTATGAAGCCAGCTGTACTCGGGTATGGCTGGTCCTGAGGCGCTAATACGGGACCCATGCACGTGGCGGGCATTACAGAATTGAGAGCAAAGCCTGCATCCTTGTGCTCGCCAATCCACTTCCAGCTGGCCTTCTCTGATTCGATTTTACTCACGACGTAGGTGAACAGACCCTTTGTCTCGATTGGCGTGTCTGGACTATCCAATGCTTCCTGCGCAAAGGTGTCGTAGGTGTCGTACGAGACGTCGATGGGCACGTTTGGTCTTGGGAACTGGACCGCCCAGCTGGAGCTCGTGAGCACGACGCGTTGGATCTTGGACCCGGATGCATTCGCCTTCTCGGCCGCTTCGAGCACGTTCAAGTTCAACTTGATCGAGTTGGGGATCACGGTCGAGTCGTTGGTGAGGAGATTGATCGCGGCGGTATGGATGACGGCTGACACGTCCTTCAGCGCTTCGTCGTAACATCCAGGTGCGATGATGTCGGTGATCTCGACCATGTCGAGCCGGGAACCGGGGTGCCGAGATTCGAAGAGAGGCTTCATCCAGGCGCTGCGATCGAGCGATCGAACAGTCCCGCGCACGGCATAGCCATACTGAAGGAGCTGATCGACGATGTGTGAGGCGATGAGGCCGTTGGCTGCGGTGACGAGGATAAGAGAGCCGGGGGGTAGGAACGGATCCTGAATCTTAGGGGCCATGGTGGATTAGAGTCGTCTGAACCTCTCTACGTAAAGAAGTTGAGTTTCTAGACGGATGGGGACTCGTGATGGGGGAGGTTGGTAGCGAGAGATGTTGATAGTAGTACAGCAACGACTGATGACGATTGACTTTATAAGCTCGCAGCTTTCACAAGACCCAACGAGTAGTCTAAACATGGTCTCGATTTAGCTACCATTACAAAACATGACTCTGATTTGTTGAATATTTAATAACTAGTGAATTAACTAGAGTAAAGTGTGTTGTCCTGGAGGTATGTACCCTAGTTAGTTGCAGATTCCCGACCAATAAGACACACTAGTGGAAGATGTATAGAACCGTGTGGATGTTCCTTGCAGCGCAACCATGAACATTAATACTCTTGTGCGTTACATACTTCGTATGTAGATTTGATTTTACATATTTACTTTCCCTGCTAGGCTTTCACATGTCACTTACAGGGGGTTGCTGAACGTTAAGCGAGACATAACTGACTAGAACGCATAAGACCTAGCGTGATGGATCATCCAAAGAACAAAGAAACGGAATCCCTGACCCTTGCAACCTCTCCTTATCCCTAATACTACAACTCTCCGGCCTCCACCTCGGACTCCATACAAGTCGACGCACCTCTTGGATCACGTTTGAACGAAGAGGTGTCGCTCTTTGATCGGCTTACTCGCGTTGCTGGACCTGAAGCTCTTTCGGATCACCCAAAGGTCCAATGGGATGGATCTGATGTGTCGACAAAGTTCTACTTAATTTACAGGCTCATTCTATACCTTTGGAGTATCTTTTCTTACATACTGTTATTCCAGTCTTTCCCGTTATGTTTCTCTTAGTCAGTGGGAGGCCAATTCACGTAATCAGTCCACCAACCCGGATCGTCCTCCTCCATAGCCTCGCCCGTCTCTTCTGTCGCGGAACCATTGTCACCCTCAACTCCAAATTCCTTCTGTGCTTCCCTCGCATCATCCACACCCTCCCTCTCTATCTCCCCAAGAAGCTGCCGCACTCGCACCACCCCATCCCTTTTCAAAAACTCGGTGATGTCCTCCACTTGTATATGAACACCGTAATCGTTGGCCAATTCCGTCCGCTCTTTCACATTTTCATGATAGTACCTATGCCTCTCGATAAACGTCCACTGGTCGAAGAGCATCGATCCAACCGGTCCGAATAGAGCAGTGAGTTCGGCTGCACTGTACTGTCTGCTGGAGATGTGGACGCCGGTCGCTTGCTCGACGAGGGCGCAGATGTCGAAGAAAGATGCGAGGCCCGAGTACGCTTGGATGGCCGTTCTGGGAGGCAGAGTGGTGGCGAGGGGTACGACAAACCTGCCTGGGAAAACGGTGAGCAGAAAGTAAGAGAGGAGAAGGATTAGTATCAGGGCGGGACGTACCAATGTCTTCGGGATGCACCCAAGGGACGGGGATGTGGCCAGGCAGGCTGCTTCCAAGCGTGAGCGAGTTATCGCGTCGCATCTCGGATGGAGTGTCAATACCCATACTGGAATCCGGTTCCAAATCCAAGCCCCCGCCGCCCTGGTTTTCTACACTCACAACAACATCTGCATCCTCGTGCGCATTCACTCGTCTCATCAACCTGTGCCAGTCCCAAATACACACACCCACGACACACATACTCGTCTTGGCCCACAAGTCCGGGAGGTTCACAACGACATAATTCGCCACCTTCGCCCCGACCTCGAAGTGATACGCGCCCGTAATCGTCCCCCCGCTCGCGGGCCCGACATCAGGATACATATAATGTACATATCTCTCCAACGACACCACACCGGCCGCAGCGCGTACGATATTGAGGCCCTCCGTGAGCTGGTTATTGCGCGCAAGCACAACGGGCGGATGCTGAGTCAGGGACGCCAGGGTGTGCACGCTGTGGTCATACATGTTGTTCCAGAAGGATGTGATGCCGACGATAATGGTGGCGTGTTTGAAGATTTTGGCGAGGGCGTCGTGGTCGGTGTAGTCGACTTCGATGATGTCGACGGCGCGGGCGGCCCATTTCTCGCGGATTTCGGCATGAGGTTTGTTGGTCAAGCCGCGCACTCTGGTGTTTGGTAGCGACGAGAAGGCGCGTGCGACGGATGCGCCGGGGCGTCCATCGATGCAGCATACTATCACTCGATTCACGCCGTCTGGGGCGCTATCATTCATCGTCGGTCGTGGTTGGGAGACTATCGACGCGGAGGAGAAGAAATGAAAGGTGTCGAGCAAGAACCGTGCAGTTGAGCGAGCCGGGGAAGCGCTTAGATATAGGGACGATTGTTGTAGGCAAGCAGAAGGGGGCTGTCTCGTGATGGAGTCATGGCGTGGATAAGTGAAAGAGAGAGAGAGTGTGTGTGTGTGTGTGAAGCGGGAAATTCAATATAATTCTTCTGTAAGTTTTCTTCAGCAGAGTCAAGGCACACTGCAGAGATACACAACCAAGGGAGAATGAAAGCTCAAGACGCAATACTCCTTTCTTTGTAATGAGTTTATATTCGTCTGCGATCCAAACGGTACCACCACGCGAATGACACGCGGGCTACATATCGCTGGTAGATGTACGAGACCATGACCTTGTGTTAGATCAAACCCTGCAACACGCTGTTCACCATGTCCAGTGTAACAAAAACTCCGTTCTTCAGCAAGTACCATGGTCTATTTCACACTTAGGCCTTTCCTTTGCTACCAACATGTACACCACATGGATCTTACTCCCACGGCAAAAGAAATTCGGAAATTTAGAAGGGTAGAAAGGTAGAAAAGTAGAAAGAAAGATAGAAAAATGACCCTATTGAAACACCACCACCACCCACCAACCACCCTCTTCATTCAAAAAAGAAAGAAAAAAAGACGTGCGTGAAGAAAGCCCTCCAAAAACAAAAAACAAAAGAATTAGAAAAAGATATGCCTATTCTCGGAATCGAACCGAGGATCTTCGCATGTACATACTTTAATTATGTTACAAGTGCGACGCTTTACCACTTAGCCAAACAGGCGGGTACATAATTGTTTGATGATTATATAAGCGATTCCGTAACATTATCGTATTTATATACAGCAGACGCTCCAGTAATTGAAAAATTTTGACAAAGTAGTAGGCTGTGGGTGTGGGTGTGGAAATTGATGGTCGTGGGACGGGGGATCTTGGCGGAGTGCGGGGCGAGCAGGGCAGGGTAGGGTAGGCCCGGTAGGGTAGGGTAGCCATGGGTGAGAGCAGGGATATTACAGGGATTAGATAAGGATGTATTATTAGGTACAAGGGGAGAGGTTATGCATGTACATGGCTGCATAACAGGTTGTATGACTGCATTAATAGAATTGCCATGGACATGGCTACCGCACTTGATGTCGCCGTTGAGTTGAGATGCCATCCGTTTTCAACCACATGGTCAAACCAAAGACCAAGCAAAAGCTATGTTGTACAAAATATGTATGTAGCATGGTTGGTGAATGAAAGGTGTTGCCGAAGGTATGCGACAGCGTGTCGGTCAAAGAAGGGAGCAGAAACTTAATTACTCTCTCCATGTTCCCCCACCCCACACTTGACAAGCTCTTCCACGTCCGATACCGGACATTCACGTAATGAAAAAGGTGGAGGAAAAGGTTTCGTCATGCAACCGACATATTACTCTGTATTAGGGTGTGGTTGGATTAATTATAACCAAGGCAGGACAATTGGCGCGTGGGTAGATGCGGCTTATAGGACCTGTAATTAACTTTGTTAAATAGAGACAGTAACCTTTCTAGGTAAACTGACTTGTGTTCAAACCGTTTGTCGATCCGTGCGCGAGGCTGGCTTCTCCAGGTTTCGCGTGTCTGGGGCCGATGTGTGGCGCGTCCGAAAGCCGGAACAACACATGGTCACGAGAACAAACATCACATGTGCACTGACTGACTGGATTGAACCACATGATGACGAGGAACATTGTGTATTCATGAGTGAATGGTATATTAATTCAATTTCATGTTTGAGAAGAACCCAAACTCTTGTCCAAGGAACACACACACACCCCCACGCCATAGCTATTAATTACTCCAACCACTTTGACCCATACCCGGTACTCTACTCTACTCTACTCTACTGATTACCTTGGTACCCCTCAATGATGCGATACGTCGTGCAACTCCATACGCGTCAATTGGCGAATCATGCAGGTTCAGTTCGGTGAATATACGGGATCGTCGGATGCACTCCTCTAGAGCATCACCATATTTAATGCCAGCCGAGTGTAACCGAGCCCTTGTCGCAGGACCATGGGACAACCACGGGGGCTAACTTCACGATGCAGTCGCGATATAAAATTCACCCATTGAGTCCATGAATACTTTACCTGACATTCTCTCTCCTTGTTCTCAATTTCCCTCTTCGATTCCCCCTTCGATTCCCACTTCGATTCCCACTTCGATTCCCCCTTCGATTCCCCCTGCAATTCCCACGTCCATCTCCCAACTGGCTCTTCAATCACCATTGGAACCATTTTCAAAATGCCCCCCAGGACTCAGCACGTCCAGCGTCTGACTTCTCTCTCACAATTCCACATCCAACGAACCCTCACACAGTCACCACGCTTCGTGCACTCGAGCTCACGGCGCAATACATCCGCCTCGCAGGATGTCCACGACCACTCCACATCACCTGCCTCGCACCAAGACTCTACATCTCTGGGCACATCCTCATCGAGAGGTCCAACCCCACCACTCGCCCGCCTTCCAACATCCACAGTCGTCCGCTCCTACCTAATAACCCGGCTATCCTCCTCACCCGCCCTCCTCACGCTATGCTTTACTATGCTGCAGCGAATGCTCGACTCCAAGTCATACCTCACTTCGATTGAGAGGAACCCCGTACTAGCCAAGATCCTAAAGTCGACGTTTTACGCACAATTCTGCGCCGGCGAGACGAAAAAGGAGGTCAAAGTGAACACTGCCGCGGCGCGAGATGCACTGGGCTATGACGGGATAATCTTGGAGTATGCCTTGGAAGTGTTGGGTGGAAAGGCGCCTACGGAGCAGGAGATTGCACAGGAAATCGACGTCTGGCGGAAGGGAATGCTGGACTCTATCGAGGTGGCCAGGGAGGGCGACTTCATTGGTTTGAAGTGAGTACATTTGATTTTCCTCTTGGACGAGAATCAGAGAGCTAACAGTCTACCACAGATGGTCCGGTCTCGGTCGTCACGCCCTCCACCTCCTCAAGACCCAACAGCCCGCCACCCCCGAAATGTGGACCGCTATAAACATGGCCTGCGACGCCGCAGCCGCCAAGAACGTTGCACTCCTCCCCAGTGCCGAAGAAGAGTCGTCAAACCCCGGCAGCGAGGCATGGACACTCGCTCTGCAGAAGAAGTACAACACGCCCGAGCAAGGCCGCGCCGTGCTCTACACCACCTACCAGTGCTACCTGAAATCCATCTCCACGCGGCTAGCTCAACACTTGGCCAAGGCGCAGAAAGAGGGATACATTGCCGGCGTCAAGTTGGTCAGGGGCGCGTACCTGACGAGCGAGCCGAGAGACCTGATCTGGGAGACGAAAGAAGGCACGGATAAAAACTACGACGCCTGCGCCGAAGCCGTACTGAAACAAACCTGGACGAGCGCTGTCCCCGCCCCGTCCACCTCGCCCAACTCACCTTTTCCCCCGGTCAACATCGTCATAGCAACCCACAACCAGGCCTCTGTACAAAAGGCCCAGGCAATCCGCGCCGCACAACTCGCCTCCTCCCCATCTCCCCAGTCCCTCCCCCGCCTCACCTACGCTCAACTCCAAGGCATGGCCGACGAGATCAGCCAGGAGCTCGTACAAGACCCGGCCAAGATCCAGGATGTGCAGAGCAAAGTGGTCAAGTGCATGACGTGGGGCACCACGACGCAGTGTCTGAACTACCTCATGCGGAGGGCGAGCGAGAACAAGGAGGCTGCCATGCGGACCGAGGATACGAGGAAGGCCATGGGCAGGGAACTATTTAGGAGATTCAAAGCTGGCGTTGGACTTTCCTGATTGCATGCATGATGGGCTTGGACCGCGTCTTTTCTCTTCTTCTTCTTTTTTCTTTTCCTCCAAAATTTACATGTGGTATTTTGGGCCTTGGATATATATCCGGCCTTTATTCTTGGCCCATATGAACAAGGCAAGCACACAAGAAAGCAAGCGGCGTATTAGATGGGTGGACGGGAATTTAGACCCACGGCATAGGAACGGGTCCTCGAACCGGGCGGGCAGTAGACCGTAGATGTAGGTTCCTAACCTACCTTGTATATTCGACATATATATTATATTATATCATATCAAGACCAAGACCAAGACCAAGATATCAGATGAATACACATGAATGCAACACTGTTGTGCAAAAACAACACACTTGTAATGTGGTAAACATCCATGTATGTACATACACATAATGTCAGTGTTAAATCCATTCTTATTATTACTCAATAAATCTTGGTCATTTATATATCTATCTATCTATCTAATCATTATTAAAAAAGACGTCTTGTCCTCCCTCGCTCCCTCGCTCCCTCGCTCCCTCACTGTACAACAACACCGAACAGCACAGAAATCCAAACAGAAAATAATTAATCATTAGATTAATTAGATGGATTATTAAATTATTGAGACTCTTGTACATATGTTCCTTTTTTTTTTTTTTCCTTTTTTTCTTTTACTTTTTTTTCTTTCCCCCTTCCTACACTTTTATATTTTATATATTTTCCATGTCATGTCATGTTTTTGGTTATTGGAAAACACTAGATTGATATTGGAATTATTGGAATTATTAAAATTATTAAAAAAAAAGAATTATTAATTAATTAATTAATTACTCTTGATATATATATTTTTATATTTTTATATTTTTTTTTTTTCCTGTTTTCCATCTTTTGTTGGGAATTTTGATTGTCAACTGAGTAAGTAAGTAAGTGAGTGAGTGAGTGAGTGAGTGAGCAAGGAAGTAAGTAAGTAAGTAAGTGAGCAAGGAAGTAAGTAGTATCAATAATATTGCGGAAAAGGAAAAATGCATAATTAGTTGATTACATGGATGGTTGGTTGGCCGTGTGTGGACTTGGGACTTGGGACTTGGGACTTGGGACTTTGAACTTGGAAAGAGCAAGTAAAGGGTGCTGATTTAACGCATGCACGACTGTTTATATAAGAGGAGTGGAGTGGAGTAGAGGAGTGGAGTGGAGTAGAGGGATAGAGTGGAGTAGAGGGATATGTGCTTATTTGTACATCTACCAATATCAACTCCTGCGTTCCGCCGTATCGACAATGCGACCTCCTCCTCCCTTTACAGAACCGTTCCGTACCCCCCCTTGACTACCTACCTCCTTGTTAACATGCCCCTTTCCCATGCCCATGCCCCTTTCCATCCCCTCCTCCCCTTTACCAAGCACCACCCCTACTACCCTCTCCACACCCCAAGCACCAACCCCGACCCCCAATGCCGCCAGCAGCACCACGTTCACGACATGCACGCCCCACCACCAATGTTGCACACCGACGCCACAAGTCTCGAATTCCAGCTTCCACTCGCCGAGTACCGGGTCGTACCACGCGGAGAGGAAACCAGCGTAGCCGGAGAAATCGCCCATCATGCTGCGGAGCGTGATTTCGCGGATTTGAGGCGTGGTATGGGGGATCGTGGTAGGAGTGTGGGTGGCGAGCCAGTGGGTTGGTGGTGGGTCAGAGTCGAAGTCGGCATCGGTGGAGAGCGTGGTTCCATTTGCGGCCATGTCACCGTCGATTTCGGGTGTGGATAGCGAGTCTGCCATCTGGTTTTGGGCTTCCTTCAAGACCCCGGTTATAGAGTCCGGTTGTTCTATCTGCCCCCCCTCTTCCTCCTCCTCCTCCTCCTCCTCTTCTTGCTTGGGCCTCGAAATGTAATGCACGACATCACAGCCCTCGTGGTCATGACCATTCAGGATAATCCCCCTTCGCCCCAGCCCCTGTCCCTCAGCCTCCTGATTCCCGCTTAGTCCAAACATACCCTCGAGAAGCATC